AGGAGGGGGGGGGGGGAGGCTCAAGCCCCCCTCCCGCTTCCGACCGCCTTGTGTTATGTGTGACATTGCCAGCTAACATCAATAGTTTGCAGAATTTTAAAAATAAATCAATGCTGTAGATTGCAAGTGGTATGAACTTTCTCCATTAGCATTATACAGACAAAATACCCTTAAAATTCCAAAAGGCCAATTAACTTCGTATAGTATTCCTTACTCATTGAGAAATCAGTCAGATGCAAATGTACCCACCTTCGGGTCAACCCTTGCCACTAGATATTTTTGTACCTCTGCCCTGGTTTATGAACTCAACATTTTATGATGAATTACCTCTTTTATACATACAGTAATGATATTTGATGCTCAAGTAAATAGAAAGTAGTGCAGCAAGCTAAATCGTCATTTTGTTTATAGCGCAGGCATGGCTGGGAGTAATGGCCAGAGGTTCACTCGCTTTTACAATATTTTAGACTCATTAGGAAACTCGCAATATTTTTCCACATTAGACCTAAAAGAGCCTATATACTGGCAAATTTCCGTTGATGAAAAAAGCGCGGCTTGTTTCAATTTAACCAGCGCGGCTTGTTTCAATTTAACCGCATGCCCTTTGGCCTTGTTAACGCGCCAACTACATTTCAAAGAGCCATGAATCTTGTGTTACGTAATCTTTCCTACGTAATCTGCTTGTGTTAATTACCTCGATGATGTGATTGTATTTGGTCGTGATTTTAATGAACATTACAATAGACTGAAAATGGTTCTGGAGAGATTACGTTCGCATAATCTTCGTGCAAAACTTGAGAAATGTACCATTGCCGTGCAACAAGTAGCCTGCTCCCAGACGTTGTTATTCTTACGCCAAGCGACGAAAAACTAACGTCTGCTTTCCCGAGCTGCACATTCAATTCCCTTTGTTTTAGGAGCCAATCATCTGGCAGTGATCAAAATTGCAAGCCGCCTTATTGAGCGATTAGCTACTGGGGAAAGCTCTTGCACATGGGAATATATCGTTTGGGTTGAAATTTGTTTACTTGCGTGGATATATTTTGGAAACAATAGCGTTGAACTTCACGATGTTTACGTAGAATAATATTGTGACCATCTTCTCGCATGCTCTGCAAACAATCGGTGTATATAAAAAGCAAAAGTAATGCAGTACTGCCAGTAGGCGAAATTTAAAATTTTGTTAACAGTGACACACAATCAATGGGGAAACTCGGATGTATCAGAATATGTCCAAATGTTGCTCTTGATACAGAAGCTACTTCCTATATATGCCATGACATCGACGAAAACTTCTAAAATATTAAGCTGTCCTTGTAATGTAGAAAAATATAGCCAAGTTATAGTATAAACGTTTCGAAGTTTGGGTGAATTGGAAAATTCAACTCGGCGCAATTACAAGTTTCTCGGGTTTGTGCTGTGTTTACAGGTCTTACAGTTTACATGCAGAAGTGCATGGTTGCTCAAACAGCAAATTAGTTTATTTAATTGAAGCTAATATTTCGCTTTCTAGCCACAGTATTATATATATTAATTGTTTCTGTCTTCTGAATTCTGTTGTCTTATAAAGGTAAACGTCCGTCAAAACTTTAAATTTCAGCGAAATATATTCGGCATTTGATGCTGTCTGGCCTAGATTCACACAATATAATGCCATCCTGTTCGCGTTTTAAATATAACCGAACATCTTCAGTATCCAAATCTGATCATTAATGGCGCATTTTATTACCTGGACAAGTATCAATATCTTTAAATTCAATTTATGTGCTTTTTGACCAAAATTCAACCGACGACTGCTTTCAAGATATTTATTTATATTTATTCCACTCCTAAATCAACTGACGTACGTCACTTTCCAGAATTTGGAAGGTAAATTCTGATTGGTTGACGTAGCAGAATTCATTCTGGCGCTCGTCTGCGAGCAGGCTATGCAACAAGTTTTATTCCTAGGACTTGTTGTTTCTGAATCTGGTATCATGCCAGATCCGGCGAAAATTAAAGCTGTCAACAACATAACTAGACCTCGCAATATCAAAGATATTCGCGCGTGTGGTTAAAAGGCGGGCGCGGACTGGCGGACGCGGACTGGCGGACGTGGACCGGCGGACGCGGACCGGCGGACTGGCGGAAAATTTTATTTACCAATTTTTTAATTATTGGAAATAAATTTAAATATAAATAAATAAAATAATATTTAAAAAATATTAATATTATTATTAATAATAATAATTAACAATTATTGGCCGAAGGCGAGGTGATTATGGGTGAATAAAAACCGAGATGAAGTCGAGGTTTTTATTCACCAAGCTTGAGGTGAATAATTGTTTTAGTATAATTTCATAGCTGATTATTTGGAAAAAAATGAAAAATACACATTTCTTCCCCCAATTGATAATGTCATGGCGGTAAACAGTGAATCAGAGAGCTCCGATTATTTTCCTTCATCTAATGAAACTCAAAGCACTTTTAATGGTGAAAAATATCTACATATAACTAAGAAAGGATCGATCAAGTGGGAAGGAAGCTTTGAATCGCTTCAAAGCTTTTTTAACTCGTTTTTGAAGGCCGAGACGAAATGGACGCCGCCGCGTGGTGGCTGTAAATAATATGAAGCTGATAATAACCTAGTAATTCGCTGGTATTCTTCATCAAAGTCGCTTTGTTTCAGTGGACCTACCAGTGAAAATTTAAAGTTTAAGCTTATTGACTTGGTGCCTAAACAACAACAAATCATAGACGGCGTCAAGGGCGAAATATCAGTCGATCGAACGTTAGACTATGATGATGAAACTACAAATACGACAGACGATGAACATTCAAATGTTGAGAACGTTGAACATTCGAGTGTCTCTCTGGAAAAACTCGCTGAGAATTTCAAACTTATAGAAATTCGTGTGAATGGAAAGGTACTCGAGCTTTCATGTAAAATCGACAAATTAAAACCGAACAGTGTATGTAACAATGATCTGTCCCAAGAATATATGCAAAACATGGTACAGGAGAATAAATTGCTAAAAGCAGAAAATGACACCTTAAAACAACGCTGCGAAAATCTTGTATATGCTATGGCGTCACTTAAAGCAAACGTAAGCGATCTAGAAGAGGAGAAAAAATCTCTGCTTATGGTAATAAAAGTTCTTCAGACGGATGCCGACCTAAATCAGCCAGAAAGTAAAGAAAATCGCAATGGCTGGCAGAATGTCAAAGGGCGTGCAGCGTCAGAAAAACGTGTTGAGACATTGTCTGCTAGTAAAAGTGATACGGTATTAGAAACCAATTTGAAATTTTTAGCGACAGCGATATTGAAATCAAATCACAAGAAATCCCCCTTGTCAAAGGAAGACCAAAGGTAATAAACAAGAGTCAAGGACAATCGAACAAGAACAATGACGAACTTCAAAACAAAGAATCCGCTCGCCCAAGCAAAGCAAAAGTGCCAAGCACAGTAATAATTGGTGACTCAATGACTAAACATTTAGATAGTAGGAGATTACAACGATCATCAAAAACCGTAAGACGAGTCTCGACGCAGACTTTTAGAGGCGCAACGATAGAGGACATGAAACATCACATCAGACCATGCCTTGCAAGAAAGCCTCGCGAGATCATTTTGCATTTGGGAACAAATGATCTAGCGAAGAAAAATCCTCAAGAGATTGTAAACAGTATTGCCGATATCGTAAATATTATTCATGTTGAATCTCCCGAAACCAAACCCGGCTGTGCTGTCTGAAATAATGATGAGGACCGACAGTTCATCATATATACCTAAAATAGGTAAGATCAATCAACAACTTCAAAGCTATTGTCAAGATCAAATATAGACTTAATATAGACGGCAACTTACAAGTCAAACACCTGAACTCATACGGAGTTCATCTTAACAGAACAGGAAATTCAATTTTTTGCTAAAAACTTGATAGGTTATTTTAATAAGGGTTCGGGCAATTGAAGTAAACCGGCTACCGACAGGGCCGTCCTCAGGAAATTCTTCAGGGGGGGTGTAATTCAATTCAACCGACTGGTTCAAAAAATTTTTTCCGGAACAAAATTTTTTCGGCGACCTCCCCCCCCCCCCCCCCCCCCCCCCCAAAATTTTTCGCACAAAGCAAATTTTCAACATTTTTTAACATTTTTCCAAAATTTTTACATTTTTCCTCAAAATTTTCCTAAAATTACCACCACGTTCTTGCCCTTTGCGCCAAAAATATTTAACCCAAGTAGCAGTTCTACCGACTGAATAGCAGTCCTACCGACTGAATAGCAGTCCTGCCGACTAAATACAATTACTGGGGGGGTGTCACACCCCCCCACACCCCCCCGTAGCTCCGGGCCTGGCTACCGAGGATGATTCTTACAAAAATTTTGCCCTAAATAATACAAATCAAATTAAATCAAATGCAAATAACCCTGTTATGAAAATGAGAGGCTTTAAAATTGACCACCTAAATATAAGAAGCTTAGTCAAAAACATAGACCAGTTACGAATTTATTTATCTAATCAAAAGTATAACATACTAAGTATAAACGAAACTATGCTTGGCAGTACAATATCTAATTATGAAATTAACATAAGTGGCTATGATATAGTTAGAAAAGATAGGAACCGAAATGGTGGTGGGGTAGCATTATATATCAGAAATGTATAATTGCATGTGATTACAAAATAAGAAATGATTTAATGAATGAAAATCTTGAAACAATCACGATTGAGGTGTGTCGTCCAAAGGCAAAATCATTCTTTGTTAACACTTGGTATCGCCCACCAGATCTTCTATTGAATGTTTCGAATGGTATGAAGAATGTATTATAAATATGGACTTAGAGAACAAAGAGACTATTCTTATGCGGGACTTTAATTGTGACTGGAGCAAGTTATCCAATAATAATGCCGCCTCTCATACGGTTAGAATGGCTACTCTAGCGAGTACTTATCAATTTGAGCAAATGATTAAGGAACCCACTCGAGTAACGGCAGCCTCTAGGACACTGATTGATCTTGCATTATGTAACAAACCAGAACTCATCACGATGTCGGGTGTAGATCACCTTGGCATAAGTGACCACAGTTTAATCTACGTTGTCGAAAAATATCCATTCCACGTAACGAACCAAAAATTATCCGCTCGCGCCAATTTAAACATTATGATAAAAATTCGTTTGTTACAGAGCTTCGGGATATTCTGCAACATACGATAAATGATAACAACCCTGCAGATGTACTCTGGGAAGATTTTAAAACAAGATTTTTGTTTGTTGCCGACATTCACGCACCTCAAATTACGAGAAAGGTTAAAAGCGAGTACACTCCTTGGATGACAAACAATATTAAGAAACAGATTTATCATCGAGATTTTCTTAAGAAAAAAGCAATTAACACAGGATCTGAAAACACGTTTGTCGCATATAAAAGAGCCCGAAATGCGTTGAATAAACTTATTAAAGGGGAACTCCAGTCCAAATACAAGTGTGGTTTATATGAAAGGTCTTACCCTTATTAGAATGTTCCTCAAGTATTTCGGTCTAAATATTAATAGTAAAGGAGAAATTGCTTGTCAAAGTTTGCGATTTTGTCAAATTTGAGCGCCATGTTGTTCTTTTCATTGCAGACTCGGATTTGTCCAGCGCCCTCATTTTTGACGTCATTGCGTGCTTCGAAGGTGTTGTTCATATAGAAAACTATGGCTTTGTATGTCGATTGAATAAGAATATCGATTATTTCTCTGCTTCTAATTCTTTAATTAACGCGAGTTTAGACCGATTTAACAGAGATATTTTACAGACGGAGATATTTTACATTACCGAGCTTCTGACTGAGGTGAATCACGAGTTCCCAGCCAATGCCAGGTCATGGTTGCTGGCGTAGCTAATGTAGAAAATATATCATATATGTTGCTCCTTGCGGACCTGGGCATCTAACTCTCGTTTGACTAGATACTAATTGAATATTGTGCAAATTTGCGAAATGGATTTTCTTGTTCTGACTTGCTGAAAATATATCAATAGTAGTTAAAAACTTAAAATCGGTTGGGCAAGGCTGAAACATCTAGCAATAATATACTGCAGAAGCGGAAAGTGAGCTTGTTGGTTACTAACTAGGTTCTGAGACTTCTGAAATAGTCTGTGACAGTGTTCTGAACCAAAAAATTCATAGGCATGTTGCATTTAAGACAGTTTATATAAAATAACAGTAAACTATAAACCTGCATGTTAAACCATCGCAACAACTGCGTATAAACATTTCATATGGGTACTTACTAGTAACTTGACACTGTCGTGTATAAATAAAACCCATATTGAACCCAACACTACAACGAATGTTTAAAACCCTGTGCTAGTCTGTCTGTTATAAAACAATTCTTTTGTAAGGATTGTCTTTTTTTAAAAAATCTCATCGTACTTTATTTAAATATAGCATCACCTGAACTTCAGGTTACAGCCAACAGACAAATATATTTCTATAAACAGCTTGTCATGCGACATATGATAGTAGCCAAGCATGTAGTCTGCCCTCAGAATTATCTAGGTAACATTATTTTATATTATTGATGTCTAAATTCATTTTATATATGCAAATCGCACAAACTCGCAAGTCAAAGAATCGCTAAAAAGTAAGACGTCTATTTACCGTAATTGCACAATAAATAACAAAATGTTTTCAGCGACTGAAACTGCTTGTAGCAGTCTGCTTCAAGCCCTAACTCAAGGACAGGCTGATTCAATTTGCAAACTTAAACAAATGATTGAAGACATGTTAGCAGTAAAAGATACCCATGCATTCATACGAGTGACGACTCTCTTCTCTCTCACCTCTCTTCGATTAAAATTGATACAAATCCATGGCCACGACTACTGTATATCTGTGACTTTCAGTGAAATACCCGATACTAAACCGCAATTAATCTTATTGCTCGCATACATGAGCAAACAGTCTAAACAGAAGTCGCATAAACCGATAAATCGTTGCTGAACGCAAACGCAGCATCGATATTCATGCAAATTGAATCCGAGAGTCCAACAAAAGCCAGATCCACACAGGGAAACAACCGCAACATATAATTACCTAATTCTGCGCAAGCTTTCCGTATACCAACATGAACATGACCTGGCAACTCTTGATTCACCTCAGCCAGAAGCTCGGTAATGTAAAATATCTCCGTCTGTAAAATATCTCTGTTAAATCGGTCTAAACTCACATTAATTAAAGAATTACAAGCAGAGAAACAATCGATATTCTTATTCAATCGCCATACAAAGCCATAGTTTTCTATATGAACAACACGTTCGAAGCACGCAATGACGTCAAAAATGAGGGCGCTGGACAAATCCGAGTCTGCAATGAAAAGAACAACATGGCGACCAAATTTGACAAAATCGCAAACTTTGACAAGCAATTTCTCCTTTACTATTAATATTTAGACCGAAATACTTGAGGAACATTCTAATAAGGGGAAGATCTTTCATATAAACCACACTTGTATTTGGACTGGAGTTCCCCTTTAAAGACACAAAAAGGAATTGTTATACGAGTGTTCTAAATGATACGAAAAATAATCCAAAGAATATGTGGAACACATTAATTAGTATAGGTAATCATGCGATAGCGAGTACAATTAGGGATTAATAGTACGAGTGATGTTTGGAAATTTTGCCAAAATTGGACTAATAAACCGCTAATCCCTAATTGTACGAGCAACATCGCATGATTACTTGTTTATTATTAGCATGACAAAACTGAATACGTACTTCTCAATGTCAACTTCATATTCTCTCGCCAAAGCCCAGTTCTGCCAGACTTTCAACCAAAATTTGGTGTTTTTGTTTTAGTTCTTTTGTTCAAGCAAAATTTGGTGCTTTTGTTCGTATTTTTATCTAGTTCCTTCACGGCAATTTCATTTCACATCTGTGTTTAAAATCCCTTTCCGCCATTTTGTTGGTTTTGGGAAAATCATTAATTGTACTGCAGTACAATTAATGAAATAATTGTACTCCTCTCAACCAATCAGCATCCAGTAATTTTGTCATGCTAATAATAAATTAATTAACAAATAAAAAATCTAAAACAACTACGATCACCAAGCTTAACATATCAAATGATAATGTTACTGAAGATCCAAATAAGATATCACACACTTGATTAATACCTATTTCAAGACAATTGGAGAAAATGTAGGTAATGAACTACCAGATGCTACCGATGCACCTGAATCATATGCTACTCCTAGTAATTCAACTTTTCAAATACAAAATGTGTCAGAGGTAGATGTATTTCAGTTGCTCATTACATTAAAGATATCCAAAGCTTGCGGACATGATAAGATACCTCCAAAGCTTTTGCAAGATTCGGCAGTAATTATTGCTCCAATTTTAACTCATATTTTTAACCAGTCAATTAATACAGGTATTTTTCCAAATGGTTTAAAAACTGCAATAATATCTCCATTATACAAAAGTGGAAGCAAGACAGAATGTAGCAACTACAGACCTATTTCAGTTCTGTCAACTGTTGCCAAAAATTTTCGAGAAACTAATATCAGTGCAATTGTACGAGTATTTGGAAAATAATGCAATACTTGCCTCCCAGCAATCTGGTTTCAGGAAAAAATTTTCAACGGAAACAGCAATGCTGGATGTAACTAATAAATGGTTGATAAATATGGATCGAGGATATTTAAACGGGGTAATATTCCTTGATTTAAAGAAAGCTTTTGACTGCGTAGACCATGACATTTTGTTAAAAAAGTTAATTCTTTACGGCTGCAATGGACGGACATTAGATTGGTTTCGATCTTATCTTACAAATCGTACTCAAATGTGTAAAATTGCTCAAACAGTGTCCTCTCCGGCTGTTATTACTTGTGGAGTTCCTCAGGGGTCCAACTTGGGCCCATTACTTTTTCTTATTTATGTAAATGACCTTCCTCGAACGCAAGTCTGTTTGCCGATGATACAAATTTAACACTCTAGCGGTATATCGGCCGAAGTTGTTCAAAGTCAATTGAATGAGGATCTAGGAAAAGTTCACCGGTGGTTGCTTGCCAATAAATTAACTCTAAATATCGAAAAAACTGAATATATGTTGATAGGCTCTAGACAACGTTTAAATGATATCCAAACTCCTACAATTAGATTAGGCGATACAGAAGTTAACAGAGTAAGTGAAATAAAAACCTTGGGGGTTGTGGTAGATGACCAGCTTCTTTGAAAAAATCATGTCGACTCTACAATTGCCAAGGTTTCAAAAGGAATCGGTATGTTGAGACGAATGAAATCTTACGTACCGAAATTTACTTTATTGCATGTCTACAATGCCCTAATTCTGCCTCATTTTGACTATTGTAGCCTTGTCTGGGATACATGCAGTAATTATCTAATTGAAAATTTACAAAAATTGCAGAACAGGGCTGCAAGGGTCATTTCAGGCAAATCGTATGAGATTAGATCGTGTGAGATTTTATCAGAACTTGGTTGGCGGCCACTGGCAGAACGAATGAAATTCAAAAAGGCAACGTTCATGTATAATGTGAAAAACAATAATCTAAATGAGCCTATGACAGATATTTTTGAAATTAGTAACAATGAATTTTATAATTTGAGAAGTTATGCTGTTAATTTCCATATTCCTAAGCCTAAAACCAATTTTTTGAAAAAAAGTATTAGCTACTCTGGGGCTTTACTATGGAATAGTTTGCCAATTTCAGCAAAAGAACAGGGCATAACGATTCATCAATTTAAAAGTATTCTTGGTAGCCAATGCTGTTTCTAATCCCGATTTGTTACTTTATATACATATATATTATTTAGTGTGTTTGTATTAGTTAAAGTATTAGTGTGTATAATAGGTTTTTAATATTGTATTCAAACGGCTCCTTGAAAATCAGTTTCTTTAATTTGTGCTGAAGGGCTACCGTTTTTAAATAAGTTTAAATAAAATAATAATAATAATAATTTAATTGACAAAACGGTTTCGGCCGCCATTTCGAAAATCGCTTAGGTGATCATTGCGTTATACGGCAACCAATCAGCGTGGAGAATTTTCGATAATCACCTATGTAATTAATAATAATATTATATATTATATTAATAATATCATTTTTTCTCCTTCACATCATGCGACAACCGAATTCAATAATTGTTATATAATCTCACAATCACGTGTCACGCGTTGACACCAGGATTTGATTCATTCATACAGGATCAAATATTTTAAAAGGAAAACGTCCAAACACATTGTATTCGCTTAATTATTCAGCAGATATATTCTTGACTTAGTGGGTACTTTAACTTTCGGTAAAACTGTAATAGTATCATGGCGAACTACATAACAAACTTTAAATGTATTCTACGAGTGAACGAGTGCCAATGTGCGTGCAGTCGATTGAAGACCGGAAAGAAAACTGATGCGCGATAAAAAGCGGCTGTCAAGAGGATCACGATAATTTGGATGTTGATGGTCGTGATGATTAAGATCTTACGAAAACCAGCTTTCCTTTCAGTGGCGTTCAGCGAGGGCGGAGGATGGAATAGATACGAATAGAATATGTAAAGTTTTGAATAAAAGATTGTAATTTTTAAGCTACTGTTAACTATAATGCGCAAGAGTGCATTGATCTGGAAGTGCATGAATGCTACCAATTAACTGAGAAAAGATGTAAGTTGAAGCCCTGTACCAATGGCCCAATCATTTGCAACTTTCGTCGTTTTTGTACTTTGCCTACAGCTGTGTTTTTATACGGTTAACGCAACGCATGAACAGACTGATTACGTTTCTGTGTTATTACTGACTTTCAACTAATGTACAATTATCACCTTGAAGAGATACGAAACAGCTGGTTGAATTAAAACGAGGGTGTCATATAAGCGCTCTCATGTTGGGAAAATATAGACAATACATAACGTAACATTGGTCCTTTAATAATTTTAAAAACAATATTGTATCAATATATAATCAGAACTTTATACATGGAAAACCGGAAAAACCACTTGCGTTTTCGATAATTGTTGCATAAATAACTTTCTAAACTAGTAAACCAAACTCTCTTAGATGCAAAATGTGAACTTGTGTCAGCATCTCTCTAATTCTTGTTACCGAAACAATATTTGTTACCGAAAGTTAAAGTACCCACTAAGTCAAGATTATATCTGCTGAATAACTAAGCAAATACAATGTGTTTGGACGTTTTCCTTTTAAAATATTTGATCCTGTATAAATGAATCGAATCCTGGTGTCAACGCGTGACACGTGATTGTGAGATTATTTAACAATTATTGAATTCGGTTGTCGCATGATGTAAAAGAGAAAAAAATGATATTATTAATATAATATATAATATTATTATTAATAATAATATTAATATTTTTTTAATATTATTTTATTTATTTATATTTAAATTTATTTCCAATAATTAAAAATTTTCCGCCGGTCCGCGTCCGCCAGTCCGCGTCCGCCAGTCCGCATCCGCCAGTCCGCGTCCGCCAGTCCGCGTCCGCCAGTCCGCATCCGCCGGTCCGCCAGTCCGCGCCCGCCTTTTAACTACACCCGATATTCGCAGCTTTTTAGGTCTCGCTGGCTATTATCGCAAATTCATTCCAGAGTTTTCGTCTATTTCAGCGCTATTTTGCTATTAGTAACTATTAGCAATGTTTTTAATAAGCACTTCACTACTGAAATCGGACCTAAATTAGCAGCGCAAATTCCAACAACTGGTGCGGCCTCTTATAACATTCCACAATGTAATGAAGTTTTTGAATTACATGAAGTTACTCCATCTCAAATAGATGGACTAATTTATAAATTATCGACTTCTAAGGCTAGCGGTCTTGATAACATTCCTCGGTTCGTTTATTAAAACTAATTAATTTCACTACTGTGGTTTCACTTATTCATATTATTAATCTAGTAATTCGAAAGGGAATTATTCCCGCTGACTGGAAGTGTGCCAGGGTATCAGCAATTAATAAACATGATTCAAAACTAGATTTGAATAATTATAGGCCTATATTTCAGTCCTTCCAGTAGTTTCAAATTTTTTGAAAAAGTTGTCTTTGACCAAGCATATGCCTTTTTAAACAAAAACAACCTTTTATCTGACATACAGTCACGATTTAGACCTCTTCACTCAACGTTAACAGCTATGCTTGATGTCACTGATAAATGATACACTAACATGGACAGTGGGTTAATAAATGCTGTCTTATTCATTGATTTAAAAAAGGCTTTTGATACCATTGATCATAACATTTTACTACAGAAGTTAACTTGTTACGGTTTCAACAAAGAAACGATTGATCTTTTTAGGAACTATCTTTCAGATCGTACTCAAATAACAGTTATTAACAACATACGATCTGATACTCGTAAAGTAACATGTGGAGTTCCTCAGGGGTCTATCTTAGGTCCACAACTGTTTTTAATATATATAAACGACCTACCTAATAGTGAATTGGTATCAGATGGGCGTTTATTCGCTGATGATACCAACTTGACTTTTGCGGACAGCAACCCTGACAAGTTGATTTCTGTTCTAAATGACGACCTTAAAACTCTCCAAAACTGGTTTAACCTGAATAAACTAAGCCTGAATGCGATTAAAACTAAATGTATGTTCATGGCATCCAGGCAAAAATTAAGTACTATTCCTGAAGAACCTAATATTGCTATCTCCGGAAACAAAATTGAAAGAGTTAGATCTTATAAGTGTTTAGGTTTAAAACTGGACGAGAGTTTGACATGGGAGAATCATGTTTCTAGTATAATCTCCAAAGTCTCCAAGGTGATTGGAGTTCTACGAAGACTAAAACCATTGCTCCCACAGTCAACTCTTGTCATGATCTATAACTCTTTAGCACAGCCATACTTTGATTATTGTAGTATTGTCTGGGATAGCCTAGGTAAGGGTCTTGGACAAAAGTTACAGCGATTACAGAATAGGGCTGCAAGAATTATTACTGAATCTGATTATAACATCCGGTCATCAGATATTTTAACATCATTGAATTGGACCAACCTTGAAACCAGACGTACCCAACAGTTCAAAACTTTTATGTACAAAACTGTTAATAATATGGTTCCTAGTTACTTGTCTCGAAAATTTACTTCCACGTCAATGATACACGAACTAGTTCGCGTGGATCCAATCATAAACTTTTTGTACCAAGACCCTTAACAGAATCCTTGAAGAAAAGTTTTTCCTATAGAGGAGCTACCCTATGGAATGACATACCCGTCGAACTCACTAGAGTTCAATCTCTCTCTGATTTAAATCTAAAATATCTTAATATTTCTTATATATTAGTTTCTTTGCATGTGTAGTTTGTTACTTTTGTAAATAGTTTGATACCTTTTTATGAGTAATTAGTCTACTAGTATAGGTACACGTCTCCATTGAAGAGCACATACATAACCTGTGAAATGGACCTCTTGTTTTAAATAAAGATGTCAATCAATCAATCAATTTTGCTACAGCTGACGGAAAAAAGCGGCGCGATTTAATTGGACGGATACTTGCCAACAAGCGTTTCAGCGTTTAAAGCACTTATTATGCTCTGCCCCATTCTGGCATAATTCCGGACTTCGGTCAGAGTTTATTTTGCAAACAGATGCGTCTGATTATGCCATTGGTGCGGTTTTGTCGCAACTTGATTCGTTAGGAAATGAGACAGTTATTGCTTATGAGTCAAAAGCTCTTTCATCTCGCAAGCAGAAATACTCAACGACTGAGAAAGAAGCGTTTGCCGTAGTCATTGGTACAGCCCATTTTCGTGTTTATTTATTAGGCCGCCATTCCAACTAATTACTAACCTTAGTGCCTTACGCTGGCTGCACACTAGGGAAGCTAAGGGTCGTTTAGCGCGGTTATGGATTATGGATTTACAGGAGTTTGATTTTTCAGTAGCCCACCTTGCTGGGCGGATTCATAATAATGCCGATGTTCTCACGGCTTGTACAAACTAATTCACAAGAACCCACCACATTCATTACGAATGCACAGCAACCCTCATTTGTCTCCACAATACGTGTTAAATTATCTGGGGTGACGCACAGCGTGACAGCGATTGTTAAATTAGAAAGCTGCAGCAAGCCAGTTATCCACATGAAAACACGAAAACTGCCTAAGCCAAATTTAAAATAAATTGAGGATCCTGCACTGAAGAGTTGTCTTAGACACTATGACCAATATTTCTTTCATGACGAAATGTTGTACAGAGCGCTTGGTAACCGTAGCAACTCTCATCCACATGCAACGGGTAATATTTATACCCTCTGGCTTACAAGCAAACATCCTCAAAACACTGCATTATGCGCCACTAAGCGATCATTCAGGTATTAATTGTACCGAAGAACGAGTTAGGAAACGATTTTATTGGCCTGGCATTCGCAAAATAGTAACCAAACATATTCAGTTGTGCAAAGTTTGCATTTGCAACCATAAGAGCTCTCCACTTAACAGCAACACAGCTCCATTAGGTTACGTTTCAGTAGTCTACGTTTTACTTTCTGGACAAAGGATTACATGGACCCATTACCAAAAACAAGTCGTGGGAACAAACACATTCTAGTTGTTGTTGACCGTTTCACCAAGTGGTGTGAGGCATTTGCAACCACAGATCAAAAAGCCAGCACAGTTGCGCCACTTCTAGTAAGCGGGATTTTTTTCTTGCTTCGCCCTTTCAGCAGTGCTGCATGCATTCAGACCAAGGTCGAAATTTTGAAAACACCCTATCGCACGAAATATGTCATTTTATGGGCATTACGAAAAGTCGAAAACGCACACTACAAGCTATCATCCTCAGATCAATGTGATGGACATGAGACAGAGCGGCAAAACCGAAATATTCAGGCTATGTTTTTAGCTTTTGCGTCAAAGAGAAGAGTTGATTGGTTTTGCGACGGTGGCTGGATTCAGTGACGTTTGCCTATAATACCAGTAGACATGACGCATTAGGCATTTCACCATATGAGGTAGATTTTGGTGAATTACCTAGATTGCCCGTTGAATTGGAATTAGGAATGCCTCTAACAAATCCTTCCACACACACAGAGTGATTCACACGGTATTGGTCGTGCTCAGCCTGCCAGACTAAGACAGCATATTAACTAACCAATGTTATTATATACACAAGGTCTGGATATGAGGTATTCTGAAATCTGATTGGTTCTCTACTAGCAGGATATTAGCTCATATCCTGCTAGTATAGAGAAAAACAAAATGGCGGCTCAAACTGAATTTCCGACATTTTGCGAACGAGAAAACGGCAAGTTGTTCGCTTTTTATAGCCTTTACAGGATTAAAAACACAACGAAAAAACTCCCACAAATTGTTTACAGGTTAGCAAATGAATGTTTAAAATTTAAAATGGTTAAAAATATATATTTTTGAAAAAATACTTGGCCTAAAGAGCGAAGATAAAAACATAATCAAAATAGAAAAATATTGAAAATATCCGAAAAGCAAAGTCTGTGAATTCAGACCTTGTGTATGTAATAAAACAGTACGTTATTCCACTCACTCTCGTCGAATATGAGCGATAGCTGATTCGGCGCGCGCTACGCGCCTCATCGGCTATCAGCTCATATTCAACTCGAGTTCGTAGAATAACTGTTAAATATACGGATTTAATTAGAAAGGAAGATGGTGTAATGGGCAAGAATGTGTAAACGTGTAAATGAGGAAGTCAACCTTAATTCGCGCCGTATGCTTCACCAGATTATAAATGTGAGATGTAAAAGAAATGAAAGTTAAGTTGGATCTAGATCACGTTGCTTGTTGTATTGGCTCGGCTTGTTACATGTACCTATGTATATGTTACAAATTACAAAGTGAAATTTCACATGTACGTGACAGGATTTCACATGAAATTACGACTGAAATTTCACATGTGAAAAGATGACAATTTCACATGAATTACAATTTACAAAGTGAAATTTCACATGTACGTGAAAGGATTTCACATGAAATTTCGACTGAAATTTCACATGTGAAAGGATTTCTCATGAAATTACAAATTACATGTACAAGTGAAATTTCACATATGTGAAAATATTTCACATGAAATTACAAGTGAAATTTCACATGTGAAAAGATAAGGATTTCACATAACATTACAAATTACAAAGAGAAATTTCGCATTTACGTGAAAGGATTTCACATGAAATTACAAATTACAATGAAATTTCACATGCGAAAGGTTTCACATGAAATTAAAAATTACAATGAAATTTCACATGTGAAAGGATTCACATGAAATTGAAAATTACAATGAAATTTCACATGTGAAAGGATTTCACATGAAATTAGGAGCAGTGGCGGCGCCAGGCCTCAGGAATTGGGGTTGGGGGGATTTGAGGGGCAAACTCATTTTTTTTTGGGGGGGGAGGGGACGAGATAGAATTGTTAAATAGGTAGTGCTATTTGCCCATGCCGTTGTCATAGGACTTCCCCCCCTCAAGGAGATTCGCCTCCCTCCCCAACCATAGGAATATCGACCCCCTTTAGGATATTCGCCCCCATATATGCGATGTGGTTTATTCAAATTTCGTGATACGTTCATCTTATTAGTGCCTTACATGTTTGAGAATTTAACTCAGCAAAACTAAAGCTTTTTTGCCTTTTTTGAAACGTATTATTGGAGTATTGGCAAGTTTTACCATTCAGAGACTTACAAAATAATACTGAAACTGTAAAAACAGTATTATACGCGCATTCACTAATGACTAATGAGTAATGAGAACTTATAAACCATACATTTTTTTTTGGGGGGGGGGTAAAATGTGGAGGTGGGCAAAATATAATTGGGGTATCCCCCTGCAACCCCCCTCCCCGCCACTGATTACAAGTGAAATTTCACATGTTAATAGATTTCACATAAAATTACAAGTGAAATTTCACATGACAAATGATTTTATATAAAGTAAAAAAGTGAAATTTCACATGTGAAAGATTTCACATGAAGTAAAAAGTGAAATTTCATATGTGAAAGGAATTCACATAAAGTTACAAGCGAAATTTCATATGTGATTTAAAGGATTTCACATGGACGGTAAAAAGTGAAATTTCACATAAAATCGTGCACTGCAAAACATCAAATTCTAGTCTAGAATAATAGTCTTATTTTTTAGATTATTTTTTAATCTTAAGTAACTATTTCAGTATTTCAAGAAAAAAATCTCGTTTTGAGAACAAGGCATGAATTTGAATATTCGAAAAATTTTTTTCTTATTATAAGAATAACATTTTTCCAACCTAGAATAATATTCTTATAATCAGAAAAAAAATTGAAATGAAGTTTAATATTACTTTAAATTCTTTAATTAAAATCCCATGGATAGTAAAACTAGGGAGCGCTTTTTGGTGTATCTATTTTAGAAGACAAGTGCCACGCGCGCAATGAGTTGTGGGATATCGCGTATCAAGTTTCGAGTGTGATTTGCAAATTTTTGATTTTTTCGTTTGGATACTGATTTCGCTCAAGAAAAGCTATATTCCACTCAAGAAAAGGTATAAATGGTATTGGATTAGTGACTCTAAGTCTTGCTAAAGGCTTATTGATCTCAGGTATGTATTATTACTCTTTATATCATATAATTATAACGTCCATCG